TTCTTTCCTTTTTCACGACGATCGAGAAAACCGCCGGGCTCTTTTGTCATTTGATTCCGAATGGTACCGCGTCTCTCCTGACCACCTGCGTCCACCTGTGCATCATCTGGACCTGGCTCGCAGTGGCCTGTGACTGGGATCACAGTGTTAACGGGTCAACTGGAATCGGAGTTCGGGAACTATTGGCTCGATGCTTCGCGACACTGGCACGATCATCACATCCGCAGATTGGTAGACCACTTAAGTGACCTGGATCTTCCTTCTCTCGCAGGATACGGTCTCCTTGGAATTGATTACACCGTGTGTCTTTGATAGTTGTTTAATGATTATCGATGAGAATGTCTTCCAGCAGGCTTTCTTGATATCCAATCGGTTGATCCTTGGCGAACCATGCGATGGAGATCGCTGACATAGCCGTTCACTGATAACTGCTTAAAGTTTGCCACAGTTATCTCTGCTTCTGTCAGCAGAACAAACTCGAAGGTAGCACCGCAACGTGACTCTCGGCGGCGGCGTCGCGACGCCAACTGACTGAACTGGTCTGGTGCCGGCGCTGAGGCGTTTTGAAACGGGCGCTACGACTCGCAGGGCCGTACGATCCTCTTAGAAATTTTTCCGGATTCCATGACTCCGGTGATTTTAAATTAGCTCCAATTGCCACTTTTCGTCCATCGAGTGGACTAATTCGCTTGAATTATTATAAAAGACTACAGCAGGTACATCATTCCGGTTAATCACTTCCTGAAGCATATTTCGTTTTCAATAAATTCGTTCGTATCAATTGCTCCGGTAATAGTGACTAATATCGAGCTTAACAAGTGTTCGTTTGCAAGTGAATACTTTGTTGACGGTTTTATCCATCGGATCGCATCATTTACACGTTTCTTCCGTTTCTATCTGAGTTGCCAACCGGCGACCAGTGTTTCTGAAGTCATTGACGAAATATTAATAACACGAGACAGGGCGCTCGAATCATCTTCATTCGTGGAACCGCGACTCAGAGTATCAGACCAGCGCTTGACCGATGGGGCAGTTATTTCTGAAAGTTACGAGGACGACCGAGTTGCCTGTCGTCTAGCATTTTAAGTTGATCGTCGTCTGTCCGGCCAGCGGTGGGAAATACGATGGTGACACAGAAATTCCGCGATAGTATCCTGCGAGCGCCGTTAATAATGATCTAGAGTGCCGGCTCTTCCCACGCGGATCCGCGTGTTCAGAGAAGCAGCGGTTGAAAGACGATTCTGCCAAAAGTAGTTCCATCCGGAATTCACAGCCGAAATCAGTGTAACTGGAATTCTGATTCATGCACAGGTTGACATTAATGAACGACCTATTCGTAGGCAACAGAATTAGTAACATCTATGCTGTCGTTCGATTCCATAATCATCTTTATAAGTACAGCATCCATGAAACAGAAAAGTGACAAAAAGGACTTACAGATCTACATTCTATGAGAAGCATTGCAAATTTAAATAAGAGTATGTATGAAATGAATCGATTGATTAATTGATTGAATAACTTTGCTGCAAAATGGGATTTCTTAAGATACGATCAGTTATTTTGAACTAGAGTACTTTGTTTTATTGCGAGTCACTAGACGTAATGCTAAATAAAAGCACGCAATCTTGAACTTAATCCAACGGTAGCAATGACTACTATTTCCAAGCGAAATATTGTTATCAAATATTTTATGTACAGCGAATTTCAGTTCAAAAATTAACTGCCATTGTTCCAAGAGAAAAAGAAGTGAACAACGGCCACGGGAGGTCGGCTTTCGCCATATTTTTCGTGATTGTTCAACCGTGTACGGCGACACAGTTTATTTTTAACGGTCGAAAAAATACGCTGAAGTGAAAATGTTGTTTCGAGAAAAACTTGGGGAAAAAGAAATGTTCCCGGATCGAGAATAGCTCTCAGCTGTGCCACGATGATCATTTTGCTCACTGGGGGATGCGTTTTATGGAGTTTCCTTTGTTCAGCTCGTTCATTAATTCCTTCGTTTGTAATTTTTCCTATGAACAAATTTGATGAGATGAGAAAATATTGAAAAGCCGTCTACATTTGTTGTAACTTTATTTAAACGGATTCATTTGAATTTAGTAAAATTTTGTTAAATCAGTAATTACGATTCATTTGTTTAATTTTATGCCCGGAAAATGCTAATTTTGAACCAATTTCAGTGGACAGATAATGCAGTTATTGTATTTATAAAGTATATTATGTAAATATACACTCGAAACATAATTAGCTCATAGGAAGCGGATTATCACTATTTTATTCCAATATGGCGGCTTTAATGTTACACCAGGGACCATGTTTCCTTAACACCTGACATTTCGTTGGAAATTTTGAAGTGGCGTGTAACTAGCATAAAAAAAGTAATTTATAGCAGATACATGACATAAGAAATAATTTACATGGTACCAACAATTAAAAAAAAGTTCGTAATCGGTTCAAGATCATCTATCCTATTATCAATTGCTTTAACTTTAATTCGATCCTATATCAATTATAGTAAATTTGATTCATTGTACTCTGAATGATTAAATTATTAAAAATTTTTGAATTTCAATCGCGTATACAATGATATAACATTAAAGGCGTTGTAAACGAATACTCGGAGTTAATAAATTCCGCGAGAAACAGAAAGTACGACTATGAATGATACCACGCAAACACTTTTCAGTGAAGATTCATTGTTTAACTTCTAAGTCCATTGTTTAACAACTAGACAAAAACAATTAACACAAAATTCTCACTTATCACTCACGGCTGTACCTTGTCTGGAGGGAAAAAAATTTTTTTTTTTCAATCCCATTTCTGAATTTTATAGACGTTTATTTAAACGATGACAATTTATATATATTTTCTGTTGTCAATACAAACTTCGTTTTTTTTTAATATCTTTTCTTTTTTTTCGCGTTTTGCACCCATACATATGCACGCACATCCACGACGTTTACATCAATATTAACCTACGCGCTACAGTTCGGCCATCCTCACCTGTTAGCCATCCCGGCTAACCCAAACGCAAAAATATCAATTTTAATATTACTTTGATCATGCAAACATATTCATACTCCCTAATCAATTATCTAAGTACTTATCTAAGTTTTCGTTTATTTCAATGCTTATGTTACAATATACGGTTTCATATTATCCAGTGACAGAACACCATCATAGGGCATTTAGGTTATTTGGAACCCGTCAACGTCGCTGATCACATATCGATCACAATCTAAGACCTTTTTTACCGTGTATGGTCCCTTAAACTTAGGTACCAATTTTTTATTCATGCCCGCTGAGTTGTCAACATTTTTAATCATTACATAGTCTCCAATGTTTTATCCAAATGTGTCATTATGCTTATTGTTATAATAATTCTCATTGAAGGCTTATGTTTTTTCAATAGTTTTCGCTGTCCTTTCGCGTATATCCTCTAAGTCTCTAATCTCTTCTGAGGTTGGCTGTAATAAAAGTCACAGGTAGTCGGTATTCAAGGCAAACTCAACCTGATCAAGCACATGGTCAATTGGTATGCTAACAATTGCATATATGCTTATGATTCTTAATCTTTCTTTATTTGGTTCGTGGCCCTGAGTCATATACTGTTTAATTATTTTCACAATTGTTTTCTTTCTTAAGATTCCCTTCTTCATATTTTGCAAGGCCACGTAAGATGCACATATTGCAAAATCAATGTCACTATTGGACAAGTAGTGGCCATCTCTTTGTGTGCTTTGGTTAACGTTTTTAACTATAGTGCCAATATCCAGTCTTCTTCACTTAGTGTTCTTTGTGTTTTCTGGCTTAAATTTAGCATTTTCTTGTTTATATTAAATGTGAATTTCCATACCTTATCTTCAGTACTTTTATTTACTTTCCTAGATTCAGGTCCTACTTCATAAATCACTTTAGAGCAAAATTCCACAGCTTTTGATGGCTGATCTTTGACTATATCGTCCATATAATCGTTACAATGAACTTCAAACGTTTTCCTTAATTCTATTAATTTTATGAGATTGCGTTCTCTCTCAGCTCCAATTCCCGCGCTTTTAAATCGTTTTCTCTGGATCTGTCATCCCGAGCAGACGGTCAGCTTACTTCTTCCTCTTCTTGTGATTGCTCTCTTTCCGCTGTAATTATGCCCCAAATGTCCTTGTCAAACTCCTCCAATTTCAGAATCAATTCTGATTTCGAGCCCGACACTGGCAAATTCCGTTCACGTAGGAACTCTTTCAATTTATTGATTGTATAGTCTTTCAACATTTTGCTGGTGAGATTAACGTCGCTCGAGTTCATACAAATGTACCAACAAACTGAATCCTGTCGCTTTACATTATGTTAAGATTTCCAAGAATAATTAAAGATTGCAAATCATTAACCGCAGCTACACGGCTTGTTTCTCGATTCAACTGTTGCCCGACAATTATTTGTCTTGCTAATATACAAGCTATTGAACACAGGTAAATCCAAACGTTCGAATAAACCGTTCGAACCAGCTTCATCCGTTCGGTAGTACCATCTACCGTCGAACCGCTGAACTATGCCTAACGGACAACCTTAAGTCACGTTTCCACGTCGACCACGCTTCGTACCCGCACAAAATCTGTTGTCGCGTTAACGATACTGTTGCAAATTCAAAAATATTCCGCTGAAAAAAAGAAAGAAACAATTACCCGTCGTTCCCATTACCTTATTTAACTGTCGGCATATCGACGCTTCACTCCACCATGAGAACGTCCCGTAATACCCGCCGGGATGACGATTCAAATAATCAAAACCGTTTGCCGTTAACTTAAACAAAACGGGATAAAACATAATTGCAAAATCAGTCCACGGATATCGAGAGAAGGTAAAATACTTGGATATTTACGCGGGGAAAGGTAAATAATCGTTTCCAAGTTTCGCAAGGGACACTGGCGCCAATAGGAACCGGTGACAGTAGACAGTGGGCCAATGGCGGGACTCGGCGTAACGGGCATTAGCGTCACCGGGTGCTGACCTTGGCGACGCTTGGCTGCATTCACGGAAGGCGCCTGAAAACGCTTCGGAAAAAGGCATCGGGGGCAGCGCGCGTTCGTGTCGCCCATTGTTATCCTCGTCGCGTGTAATGGCTACCGTGGAGTTTGTTGACGGTGCTCGGTCTGCTTGTTCGCGCTACGGCCTAGCTTGAGCCACGGTACGCGGCGACGTGGCCCAACCTGACGAGAATAAAGCGGTGAGAAGCCGTGGCCCGCCAGCTACCGCCAATTTTATGCGACCGTGGAACCCGCGCTTCGTACACCAGTCGCCGCAGCCGCCACCGCGCTTGGACGACATGATCTGCGCGGGTCAACGCTGCTCATTGACAAGCGTGTAACTCGGAGCGGATTTCGCGGCATCCACAAGGGCCGATATATCGTTAGTGTTGTGACCGGAGCTGATTTTAGCGGGATCGAACGTACCGAGGCGGTGCATCGAAGGTTCTAAATCGATCGCCATTGATTTTCCGCCGCGACCACGGCCCAACCGACACGAGGAACCCGTTCTCGGATGTTGTATTGGACGATACACCGAAACCAATCGCCCGTGGCATCGAGATCGTCGGGACTAAGTGTGACCAGCTGCGCGGCACCCCGCGCCGCAGTCATGGCAACTAGAAGATCATCCGTTTGGCAGTCAGACATGTAACCCGCGGCGCCCGTGTAGACTATCACATGTGAGTATCGTATGTCGTCATGGTTATTGTTTTGAAGCCGTTCCTTCTTCGTCTATCCTTCGACGTTCTGTTAGCTCGTGTGATATGGAATGTCGAATTTTTCAGAGAAATACCTTGCCGAATATCACTCGTTTCAATTCAAACAAACACTTCTGTACACTGATCTTAAAGAGCTACCGATCAACTTGCAAACACACCACAAATTCTTCTGCGAGGGATGAGATGCACCAGTGCTTAGAAGCTTTCATCATTGATAAAGATAGATGATCTCTTGCGGATCTAATTCATTAAGTTTTCTATTAGTTAGCGAAACCCCCGAATGTTGCAAGCGGAGGTACAAAAAGTAATGGGATAGTAGTTGGCTGATTGTTCGAGTAAACAATTTGTGAATGATGAAGTCTGACATTTCATATTATACGAACTAATGATGTATGGGTTACGATAAAATCATTCCTTTCTACCTTGGTGTGGCTTTGATCAGGGGGGCAGTTGGAGTGGATACATCTCTGGGTTTATTTCTGCTTAATGAATGCCTACTGATTGTGCAGGGTCAAAGGCAACACATCAATGGCCCTAGAATCAAATGGCAACAACGTGGTGTGGTTGAACACAACCCGTCCTGATCAAATACAACAGGTATGCGCCTTGTATACCACAACGATGTAAAGAGGAAATGAGGCTTTTCGTTTGATGTTTCACACGAATAACGTATAGCGGTGTGCGTAGCACGTTGATTAAGGCAAAGCTTCGTAGTATATTTCTTTTTTAAAAGTGTATCAGTATGAGTCTCTTTGTCTTTAATGGTAATTATCATTTAACAGAGCCAACCGATCGAGCAGCCAGTGAAGTGTTCCATGTTTACTCAAACCGAGCAAACAAATAGTTTTACTCAGACGGAGCAGAGCAATTCAAGCTACGGAGATCAAAGACAGGTTGTTAGTTGTTGAAATATTCAGAGAGACAAGTTTCTACACATAACTCGAAATTTTATCAGTAAACAATTTTCGCATTCTTCAAAGAGTACTGTAGATACTGGTCTCTAAAGAAAATACGTTAAACGAGACATCAGACAAAAATTATAATTTAAAATTCACTTTGCAGCAACAAGCAGCAATGTTTGACCCACAACAAATGCAGCAGCAGCAAGCTGCTCAGGGTCAACAGTCGCAGCAGCAGCAGTCCCAGCAGATGTATGTCACGACGGACAAGAAGGAGGATAAATCCCAGCAACAATCTGCTACTACGGAGTTCCCTTTCTATTACAATGTAAACATGCTCCAAAAGGTCCAAACAAATGTGGGCACAATCGGTGCGATCACTACCGACGACAAAGGTTGTTACCGCTTCGACGTGCAACCTGTTGGTTACAACACATTGTTGAATCAGATGAGCATCGCAGCTGCTACCAATGCCACCTTCAAGTGTGACATTTGTGGTTTGGTCTTTGGGCACATGAGCTTATTGAATCACCACAAACGGATTCATAACACAACACCTAGTAATCTTCAACAACAACCTCAGCAAGTTGTTGTGCAAACACCAACAACAGTGACTGTCGCGACAACACCAGAGAGACCATACACCTGTGATATATGCGGAGCATGCTTCGCACTACCAGGAGAATTAAAGAGCCATAAAACAAATATGCATCAAAAACCGAAGGTGCAGATTTGTGAAGATTGTGGTAGCGAAGACCCCTGCGAGCATCATCCCACTAAAATTAAAAAGAGTATGTCTCGAGAATTCTTTGTTATCGTGACGTTATCATTTTTTCGACATCTAGCAAACAGTCCGATGTAATCAACGATGCCAACTTTATTTTTATAGCTATTAAACCTGGTCATCATCCAGTGAAACGAAGGGGTGTTACCAGTGTCACTAAATGTCATAAGTGTAATGGCACGGGAATAATTTTTATTGGTAAGTAAAAATCGTGATTCGTATGCTTTTTGTAAAGAGAAGGAAAATGTTTGCTACAAAATACAGAACTCTAAATTTCAAACAATTAGTATGTACAGTACACTGCAAACGCTGTGAACAGCTTCCATGAAGTTGAAATGATTACATTTTTCTTCTCGCAACACAATCATCTTTCCTCTACTTGCATCATTTCATTGCTATCATGATCGTACATCGGGTGGTGTATGGTAGGTAAAGACGACGATAAACTAGATTCTGGAATCAGTTCCCTCGCAAAGTGTGGCGCCTGCAAGGCAACAGGCCGCATCATCATAGGAAGTAAGTCGGAACAATTACAGCCAAAAAGAACACGGGATTAATATTACAGAGTATATTTTAAGTGCAACCACCAATTAGCAGATACGTGTTATTAAATTATTGGGTCGTGTAATATGAAATGTCGGATTTTTCTTACTCATAAATGTTTGTACTCCTGTTGTTATTCCTTTGTTTTTCATATATCCTCTTAAACAGTTTCATTGTCGATCATCAAAGTGACTTTTTGCAAAAAGCTTTGTCCGAATTGCTCATAATAACTATTTCTTGCGTCGTTTCTTGATACCACCGATATTCGTATAAATTTCTTATATGAATTCAAATTTGGAAACAATGCTGTAAGAACTGCTTAAAATATAAACAAAGCATTTGGGATCAATACTGCGAATGAAGGAAGAGTGCAGTTTTCGAATCGAATAGAGCATATTTTGTTTGAACAAACGCGTTTTAGAAGGTCAAATAAGGTTTCCTTTTTTCCGCAAAATCCGACATTTCATATTACACAACCTAATAGCTTGAAGTTCCCATAGATTTTTCAATGTGTTTCATTCAACGAATAATGTTCGTTTGATGTTCGCTATGTAAACTTCAAATTTACTGGTTCACCGAATAAAATAATCCGTTTATCTTTGACGCGTGTAAACGTGAAACTTGGCGAGCTTCGTTTAAGAACCGATAACATAGTTTATTTGCATGTTACATGTAAACGAAGTTTAACGAACGCTTACCGAATGTACCGGTGTTACAAATGTATGTTTAAATTTACTGTAACAATTCTGTTTCCTTTTTGGTAAAACCGTTGATATCTAAATTTAAGAATCACTGCATGGAATGAGATCTCCCCTAAGGGACAGTTTTATAAACTTAGTCTACTGATCTTTAGCGATTTCAGTATTCGGAAGTTCTTTTGAATATCATTTTACCACTCAGTGCATCTTTTATTTCATTGTACATGTACTTACTCATTTCCTATTTTCT